CCTCTATTAGTTTTTTCTTTTCTTTTTTGCTGAGGTAATTTATTATGACATAACTTGTCTTTTGTTTTCCTGTTGGACCTGCGTTATGTAAAGTGGAGTTTGTTTGATCTGGAGGACATTAGCCTCGGTTAGCTCTGGCAAACAGGATTGCTATGCCTATTTACACTTTTATTGGATACAAATATTTTGCTGCCATAACAAATACTGAGCTCTCTGTGCATCCCTATAACCTACATAACTGAGCTTGAATATTTCATGAGTATCTCTATTTCTAGTCTACTATTTACTAAGACACTGCTGCATTTACTTGACAACTAGTATTACTTTACAGGTCACATTTTACAGACCTTTTTGGCTTACAGTAAAGCAGTATCCAGTTGGGCCCCCTGCCACATGTCAGACGTCAGACGTCAATGAGTTGAGTTGACATTTTACCTTTAATAAGCTTCTCAGATGGATTCATTGTGATAACTGTTTAAGGCCAAAAGAGGTCTAATCATCCAGTACTTCCCTATAAGCAAAGATTAGAAAACATTTTAAAATTTGTGGGGCAGAATTTTCTTTTTTTTTCTTGATAACGTCTTTTACAAATTAAACATCTCACAACCCCCCCCCCCCAGATGGATCTTGTGATCCTTTGGCAGGGGTACAAAGTAGGTTATATATTCCAATAAACCTGCATGAGATGACGGGGAGCCAAATCTGAATGGCTTATTGAATCAGGTTACTGATCGGTTACTGACCGGGTTGTTTTATTTCAGTTTGTAGGTCGGTAGGGCGCTCCAGATACCCAAATGTGTGTGTGCACAAGCACTTAAACGTGTCCCCTTCTGCTCCAATAAAATCAGTGCAGCAGGTTGCACATTATACCTCGCTGCTGTTGTATCGACCTCTGTGCTGGCAGAGTATAACATACAGGTCAGCTAATGAGAAAATTAGATGATCGATCTAATTTTTTCCTCCTACGCCCATTCATTTCTTAATTCATCAGAGCCAGGCTAGGGCATGCTGAATGTCATTCTGGGAACCCCAAGCAGCAATTCCTGGAATATGTTTCCATTTGGTCAAAACTTAAGTTAAAACAAGGGGACAATGAGAGTGATTCTCACTAAGTACAAGGCCTTCGTCTAACTTTTGTTGTAGATTACATTTTTTTTTTAATTTATATTTTCAGGGCTGCTGCACGACCGGCATCAACTATGCAGTGAGCGAGCGCTGTTAATAACAAAGAAAGCCATTTCAGCTTGGTAGGGAACAAAAGCTGTTGAACCCATGCAATCATGTGAGTGAGAGCACTTCTTTGTCTATGTTTGCATGGAAATAAAGAACTTGTCCATTTTTATTAAAAGAATACCTCCATCAAGGTCCTCACCTCATTCTCTCTTCATGGTTGAAGCAATAGAGGCAAACATGGATGACTTTTATTTTCGTCTCGAATTTCCTATCAGAACTCTTAAAATGTCAGTGGGTAAAAAACAGACAAATGAAAACCCCAAGCTTTTATAAAAAAATGTTTAATTCTAGAAATGGGGGAGATGTCTGTATTTATTATTGGTTCCAAATCTATCCCTACAAACAGGAGAGTATGAATCTTCTAGATCAATAAAAGCTGACATCACTCTGAGCGCTGAGTGAAATAGTGGCTCTGGTGCCACAGCTTTATCCTGCCTCAAAAGACCACAGTGGCCAAGCTAATTTATAACCTGTAAAGACATAAGCAGCCACTCTCAAGACTTTCTTCTTGACTATCAGTGAACAACTAAATGGGTTCCTCTCACTAAGCAGCATAAATACTTAACAAAAATAATTAGGATTAACTTCTGAGTGCTTTTTAACTCAACCACAGCCCTAGACCCATTCGCATTGGAAGTGGGACGGTGATAATATGTCTCTGGTAAAGAAAGTAAAGTTGTCTCTGACTGAACAGTAGCACAATGTCCTGTGCTGTTAATGCACCGCTGCCAGGAAGTGTGTTAGAAACTAAAGTAGAAATACAGCTGATGAAAGTTGGCTGCCACAGAATCTGACCATAACATGAACCCCTTTTACACAACCATGAAATTATCTAGACATCACCCAGAGGAGCTGAATGTGAGAACATGTGTGATGTCCAGTCTGACTCATTAGGACCGGACATTAAACACACTTTACCTTGCCAGCTCTATAGTACAAAGTTTGTGTAATGTCCAATTGAGGCTGTTTGCAAGTTTCATGACTGATATCTTGCACGGCTGCGACGCTATGTCTATGGAAGAAGTCTGTTCACAGACATAGACCCTGGCACTCAAAACCATCTGTTGTCCATGAGTTTGTGGCTACCAAGTACCTTTTTTTTTAGCATAAGGAAAACAGCAGTGACCCAATAATTGAACCCAGTGGCACACCATACATACTAATCAGTGAATCAAAAATAAAGCCACATTGATTAAGAGTGAACATGTTGTTGTTTTTTTAATTAAGATTCAGATAACATTAAAATGTTTCATGGGAAAGAGGTCTGTTTGTTTACCATTTATCAAGTAGAGGAGCACGACGAGTCATATCCGCCGACACAGAGCCACATCTGCATTCTTCATTCAGAAGCTTCAATGAAGTAGCTTCAACATAGTCAGGAAGACACGTGAATGACTTTTCATCTCCGAAGTTTCGGAGGTAAAAGCTGCCTTGAAAATGGTATTTGATTATTGTGCCAAGGAAATTCTCCACAAGCCGGAGGTTCAGAGAAGATTTGACCTCTTAAAACAGTAGGACACAGTGGAAAGACAGCAATTCAACACTGAGAAAACTGTCAGAGAGAAAGATAGTCATAGAGAGGGCTACATCAATCCTCAGAACAAAATGTGTTCAAATTGTTTCAGTAGTCTAATTAGCAATCAACAATCGGCAGGCAAACACCTGTAGGTGCAATCACTGCTGGTGCCGACTTGGTGAAACCACTTCACAGAGCATCCAGTGCTTGTTCGTTTTTCATTTTTGGATGATTTTCTATTCCAGGTAGTACTTCAACCTGATTTGTACGAAACGCAGCATGCCTGATTTCTACTGTGATTAATAGTTACGAATTGCAAATACAGCAAAGGACTTGTTACCGATGTGATTTAACATTTCAGAATATATTTAGACCCCTTGTTTGTGCCATGCAGTCTAACTGAGCCTCAGTTAACACCCATAAACTGGCCCACTCAAGTGTCGAGCCAAAATTAGCATTTATCAAGAGTTAGTCATAAACAACAAGCCATCCTTAATCTAAAATTAAAAATGCACAGTCTGGCCACCAAAAGCTGTAACATGAAAGTGAGCACGTATTTTTAGCTTAATTAGCAGGCTGGCTCTGTTGATGGCAATGTTGGTCTGGTTCTGGTCGGTCCACCACTTTGGATTTTTTTTATTTTTTATTTGTCCAGACTGAAATAGACTCACAAGTCATCAAGACCATCGCCCCGGTTTTCATTGCTCAAACTGGGTTGAAACAATTACAGAGACACACAAAACGGTTCACTCACAAATATATATACAATATATAATCTCTGAGCTCTATTCCCGTCAGTAAACGTGCTTGAGAATGTGACTCACAGTTGCGGGTTTTATTCCTCCAAAATCTCTGTCTCTCTCTCTCTCCGCTGGAGCCGTGTTGTAGATATCGACCAATAACAGCACTTTATCTCCGTGTGGTACCCCGTCATGCCCCTGTGGTCTTTGATGATACATTGGATGTTCATTCAGTGGCATTTGATGAAATGACTCCACAACAATTGGATGGATTTTAATTATTTATACATTAACGTCCGCTACTGTAATCATTTCGGTGATGTCTTAACATGTTAGCTATAATTTAAATGTGTCCAATACTTTGGTTTATGACCAGACACCTGTTAAACTAAAATTGTTTTCTAAACTACCTGCTAAGCAAAGCATAGCATTTAGCTCAAAGCACCACTGTGCACCCTCAGAGAGCTACTATCATATATCTGGTTTGCCACGGTGTCCTGGCTACGTGCTGTGTAAGCTCAGTCCAAACTAAATCGACATGCTGCCTGGTGGATGCAACAGTGCATGTAGATAATAATCATTTAACTTTGTTTGTTTTGACAAAGACATTTCTCATATTCCTGCATAAAATCAGCGCTTTAGCATCTCATGCGCCATGGTCTTTCTGATGCTTTTGTGCTGCAACAATGTTGTATTCTCATTCTTGGGCTGTATCATTTTCTTCAGTTGCTTTGGTCACCCAGCTAGAAAACAGCTCTGCTCCTGAGACATGAATACCATGCTTCCTTTCCTTTACATCTCTTTATGAAAACACACGATCGGTGCTCGGCCTGTAGTCGTAAAATAATCTTTTTTTTTTTCTTCAATCGTACACAGTGATGCACATTTTGTTTTTCACTTCCCCATTATGGGTAATAACAGCACTGAAGTGAAAATAATACAATGAGATTGACTTGTCATGTGTGTTTACTCCTGCAGTTTCCATCCAAGACAGGTAGATCAATACAGGTAGAATGAACTCAAACACAGTTTTGAGGCTCAGTGGACAAAATGCTGACGTGCCACGCAACTGCAAATGTTTTGTTATGCACACATATCAAATTTATGTGATATTGTTTTCTGTTGAATTGCATTTACTTTGGACACCACCTCCTTTTTTCAATGTAAACACTATTATCTCAAGACAAGACATCACTTCATTGGCCATTGGGAACAAACGATAAGAAGCAAAAATATAAAGGGAACATTTGCTCTGGTGGTGATGAGCATTCTCTGTATGAGCCATCCCCTCCTCTTTATCAGCATACCTCATGATAGCATTCCCCACCACTTGTCTAAAATTGGACACCCTGGTGAGTTTAAGCTAGCCTACAGCGGCCCTCCCCTCCTCTCCTCTCCTCTCCTCTCCTCCCTCCCTTCCCCTCAGTCGGTTAACCCACCGGACTAATACAAGCCTAATGTGAGGAAGAAAAACTGGGAATATTCTCATTCAAAGGTGGAAGGGATGCACGGCTCTCTAGATGGTGGTTGCCATGGCTTTCTCTCAAAAGCTTTTGGTATAATGGCACACCCATCTCTGATGTCAGCGCTCGAGCAAGGAGTTGAGCGAGAGAGGGAGAGAGAGAGACGAGGGCAAAGGGAAGGGAAAGAGGGAATGAGGGAATGAGGGAGGGGAGAGCAGCCTGTTGCTCATGATCATCAAGTAACCACCTCGTACTCCACAAGCCTATAGTGCCTGATGTGCATTCATGGAGCAGAGGTAAACGGAGGAAGCAGCAGAAGCTGAAAACAGATTTCATGCTTTCCTTCATGTGCATTCTTCTCAACGCTTTCAGCAAACTAACAGCTGCCCGAGGAACTGATTCTGGAGCACAGTGAGTATTTCTATTTCTATTTCACAATAATCATGGGGTCAAACTTGGCGTTGGTTGTGCATTAAGACACACTTTTGGAGTTGTCGCATGCATCACTGTGTTTTTTTTTTCACAGAGAAGTTGGAAATGACTGGGCTGACTGATATTTTTTCAGCCGATTAGGGTTGATATTAAGATCATTGTTTGGATATTGTATTTAATTAGTGAGGGTTATTGTACATCTCATGGTTTTCTTCCCACTTTACAAAAACAAAACCGATTTGTGAATTATGCAGTGCACTCTTTTCTAAAACCAGTCATTGTTGATTGTTTAATGCTTTGATAAAGTAAGATTAAAAGTGGCATTATTTTTATTTTGGATCTTTTGACCTGTCTACAATATGTCTTTAACATATGAGAGTGATTTGCATACTGGATACCTTGCACTACACCATGGTAACAAGGCTGCAGCTACATTACAGCATGTTATGATCAGTCAGGATTTACTGATATCTCATCGGAGACCAGGTTCACTGTTGTAGAGATACTTTCTCTGGCCTGCTCTATATACGTTTACAGAGGCATTTGAAATTGCAACCAATTTTAAAAGAAAATGTAATTTAATTTTATAATGAAAATGAATGTGAGAAAAACTCCAAAGTCCTCCAAACATTGACTCATGGCTGTTATGTTTCAGTGAGAGATCATTTTCAAAACAGCACATGGTCTCATTTTGAAGATGATGTTAGATTATGCCCCATAATGTGATTATGAGTCCACAACGCAAATGCCTCCCTGGATCAGTGATGTATGATATGTAATAGATCATCCTCTCTCCCTCCTCCAGGTAATTGTGACCATAATGAGATGAACTAATGACTTTTCCCTTGTTCTAACAGCTAATAGTCTGATTCTCCCCCGCAAAGATGGGCCCACAAACTAATTATAATGTGCTATTCCCAGGTGCCTTTATGTCTAAGGTATCTGGGATACATGTTCTCAAGTTTCATTAAAGCGGATCGAAGAGTTGCGGTACCACCAGTAACACTATTTCCCAGGAGCACCAGTGGGTACACAAAGAGATCTTCAGTCAAGGCTCAGACTCGACACAAATAGAGTGATGGATTTGCTTTGAAAGTGGAAGTAGGATAGTTATTTTATCTCTCCGCAATCACAGCTTTTTGCAAAACCATTGCAGGCTGTGAATTTGCTTCTTTCATATAATGTCTAAACTGAGCAATAGACCTATCTACACCAAAATCCAATTGTCACTTGCACCTTTTTTTCATATGGCCTGGCCTGTCATATCCTGTGACAGGGAAGCTGTAATTTTCTGCACTCAACACCAAACATTTAAAGTATTGCCCATCACGCGATTTTATTTCTTCATGTAGACTCATTTCGCATCTATCAACCCAGCCAGAAAGAAAGCCCTGTGTGGTTGTTTGGTCCATTTATTAATCCATCGCATCAACTAAAGTACTTCTTCTCTCAGTGTAATGGTGTTGAGAGCTTTCCGTCACCTATCTTTGATCGGTCATTGCTTGAACCCTCTGTCACCTCATCCCGCCGGGGACCTGCTCTGTGTCCCGGTGCAGAGATCCTTTGAAACACTCTGTCACAGACAGACAGCCAGGTCTTCACCGGTATGAGGTCGTGCCCGCCTGCACATGCCCGGCCTCTGCACCTCTTTCATGAGCTGCCTGTGAAAAAAAATTAACTCTTTACCTGACTGCAGCTGGAAAAGCGAATCAAAATGTGAAACGAGAGAATTGGTTAATGCCCACACAGACAATGCAGAGAAGTTAATGTTGTGCAATCTTTACATAATCAAGTTAGTTGAGCACTTGCATATGGTGAGTGTACAATCATCCACTCAGAAAAAACCCATATACAGTGCATATGTATGTAGGTATAAAGTTGAGGTGATGTGAGATGTTTTGCGGGCTGATTCGATATTGTATGTCCCAGTTTGTTCGGGTTAAGAGGAGTGCTGAGGCACAAGGTGGATCGGTGATGCAGAAATGTGGGGATTTGGTGGGTCGGCTCAGACTTTGTCTGGGGGATAGAGTGCTTTAAGAGGACGGACAGACAGACAGGGGATGGGCTGGGGAATAAACTGTGGACAGAAAATGGCATGATGCTTCTCATTTGCTCTTTGTTACGGAATATTTTATCCAAAGATGGAGATGGGGAAAAAAATACTTAAAGGCCATTTCAAAAGCTTACTGTCTTTTCAGCATTTAAAATATGATCATGAAGCTTTTTCAAAAAAAAAGATAGATGCATTTTCAAACGCATGTGTGGTTTGCAGATCGAATAGTTAACAAAACACAAAATAAACAATCTTTAATGCTAACGTAGTTAATTATTGAAGTGCATTATATCCACAGCATACTTCTCTGCACCTCAGAAATGGAGAGCAACACACTGTGGTGGACCACATCTAGAGTTAGGGAGACACACGTTGCCCTGGAGCTATAGCTTCTTCCAGGGTTTTCAGTATGCATTAATGCCGCCCACTTACATCCCAAAAGAGTATTTATGTTTACAACTATTCCTGCTGGACTTACTGTACGGAAGAGGGCTCCTGGGGTAGAAATGCTTCTTGCATGCCTGACTGTTTCAGCGTTTAACCAGATTCTAGAGGGAGAAAGAGATAGAAAGTTGGGTCTTGGTGGTTTCAAGTCCATTTCTGGAAAGCCACCCTCTTATAGTCCATTAGAGAACAGTGAGCTGTTAAGGAGATAGGAGTATTGATTGTAGGGGAGAAAAAAGGGAAATCGTGGGATCTTAATGGCCATTTAGCCAGAGAGAGAGAGAGAGAGAGAGAGAGAGAGAGAGAGAGAGAGAGAGA